TCCTCCCAACAACGGATGCCAATCTATTGCTTATTCATATCCCCAGTTCAGAGATGGTCCAAAGCATGGACACCTTCCTGATATTCCCTTCCAGATGGCATCTTTAAGCCCATCCCCGACAGGATTTCTGTCACTCTCCCAGATGGCATCGTTAAGCCCATCTCCAAATGGCATCTCTAAGCCCATTCCCGCATCCTTTGCTTTGACGAGTGCAAATTTAAGGGCACTCTAGTGTCCAATCTCCTTTTACCCTCAAGTCGCGAAAGGCAAACTTGCCAACCTAACTCTTCGGATTCAAGAAGATTGAACAGGGGCTACTGTTGTACCCCAAAATTTGCCCTCCCATTTCTCATTGATTTCTCACCACAAAGCCCTTGAAGCTCAAGATCCAGTTAGGGTTTCATCTGCTCAAGACTTCTCCTTGCACTGTTGACCCAAATTAGGGTTTGTGTTTGCACAAAGATGTTTTGACCTAAAATGCCTAAGATGACTTTCTTGCTTCATATTGGACTCCCAAGTTTATCCATGTCAAGTTTCAAGTCTTGATTCTAAGTTTTGCCCAGCCAATTGGACAGTTGACCTAGAAATCAGCTGTATTGGGGAAAAAGTCAATTGTGGCCAATTGACAGTCAAACCTCATGAAAATTGACCCAAATCAACATTATGAACTTCTATGAACCATTTGATCAAGTTTGGATCACAATTCCATAAGAAATTTGATCAGATCACCAAAAGGGCAAAATGGTCATTTTTAGGGTTTTAACTGCACAAAGGCAATCTTTGACTGTTTGACCTAGCAAATGGCAAACCAAGTTCACATATGGACTCAAGGACCCCATGGAATTATATTGACATGCTCAACAAACTCAAAAGATCCCAAGTACACAAGATTGACAGTTGAATTTCCCAGTCTATTGATCAATTTTGACTGTATACTGAAAAGTCAAACTTTGACTTTTTGGTCAAAATCAAGGGTCAAGATTCATTTTTCATCAAAACATGCCAAATCATGAAACTTGTTCACCAAGAAATCAAAAAATGCAAATTAGGGTTAGAAATGAGAATTTTTCATAACTTAGAATTTTTCTAAGTTATGAAAAACCCTAATTTTTTCCCAACTTTGCCCCACTTTCTCACCAAGATCCATTTGGATTCAAACAAAAGTCAAAACATGAAAGTTATAGCTTGTTGAATAATCTACAACTTTGATTCACAAAGTTTTCCCAAATGAGGCTTGTATCTCAAGTTACAAATTTTTGAATAAGGGCACTAAACCATTCTTAACTTAGTGAAATTTTAACCTATTTTGACAAGGTTTTCTACCTAACTTCAAGGCCATTTTCCATACACTTCCACTTGGAATTTCAATTTGAATTTCAAATATGGATTGTAGTACACATTCCAAGCTTTCCAAAATGTCCAAGAACTTCTCAAACAACCTCATAACTTGAGAAATCGAATTTCACAATATGGCAAAAACTCATTTTTGAATTGGCTATTTTTCATGTTCATAATTTGTGCAAACTTCTCAAACCAGCATGCCCCTTGATTACAGGTCCTTAAACCATCCAACACTCAATAATTTAATGCATGTTCATTGTGCTAAAGCATTGTTCTTTGAGTTCAAGCATTACATACAAGTTTAATCCATTTATGGAAAAAGCAAAATAACCATTTTTGAAAAGTTAAGCTTTATGTCCAATTGAAAATCCAAGAGGTACAAATGAAATCTAATTGGCACAAGATTATGAGCAAAACACTCTGATCAAGGAGAGATTATGCAGCTCATTAGGGGGCCTCTACTGACCTAGAACACAACTTGGGCATTTGTTGCTTAAAGTGTAAGTAACTTGGCATTTTGCAAGAGAACTCTCATATCAGCTTACAAACACTTAAGCAAACTTGTAAAACACATCCAAGACATCCCAACCAAGCTAGTACACGACCCTAACAACCCTCATACACTCCCAATCCCAGAATCACCTTCAAACTGCAAGAACAGGGCCAAGCCTGCAGTTTGAGTGCCATCTCCCATTTCTCTCAAGCTTTCTTGCCCAAACCAGTTCACACACATTCCCTAGCATCTATGCAAGCTAACCATGACTTGAAACACGACCTGTAATTCCTCTAACAAGTTCCACCATTTTCACTTTTTCATTTTGCATTTGAAGTTCTACAGCTCAATTCAAGGTGTCTCAAGGCAAAGTAAATATTGGAACAGCATCACCACACCTCAAGGAAGCTATACCAACCATTATCTTGCACTGAAAGCTCCCCCATTGCCAGATAGAACTTCAACTGAACAGGTATTTTGGTGAACTTCTATCTCTCTTATTAGGCATCATTAGCTCTAAGTTTGTGAATAAGCAATGTTCTACTCATGCCACTGAACCTGTACATGCTTTTACTTTTCATTTCTTTTGCCTGAGCTGTGAGAATTTAAGGTTTGAAAATGGCAGAAAATCTAGGTCAGGATTTGGGGGAGAAGAAATTCTCTCTCATCTTAGAGAGTTAGATCAAGTTCTGCATATGGTTGGATTCGTCTCTTGATGCTGAACATTTTTTATGTTATGAGTTTTCATTAATAAGCCAGGAATCAGGATGTTTGGATGGAAGAACAGGGCGCGCGTTTTTTTGAATAATGTTGTTCAGAGGTTGAAGAAGGTGCCTCATGGGCTGGGCCAGCTTTTGTTTTGCTTCTTACACCATACTTTTTGATTCATACCCCCCTGAGCCCATTTGCTTGATTTAATGTTTTTTTGATTTTTCTTTTTTTCATTTTGACTCATTTATTTTTTCTAATAATGTTTAAAACCTGAAAAATCATTTTTACACCATTTTTGCATTTTTTAAGTATTTATTTGTTTATATATACTATTATACATAAATATATATATATATATATATATATATATATATATATATATATATATATATATATATATATATATATATATATATATATATATATATATATATATATATATATATATATATATATATATATATATATATATATATATATATATATATATATATATATATATATATATATATATATATATATATATATATATATATATATATATATATATATATATATATATATATATATATATATATATATATATATATATATATATATATATATATATATATATATATATATATATATATATATATATATATATATATATATATATATATATATATATATTAATACACTTAGGGTAAAATACCAAAAATATACATCTTTTTATTTTTATTGATATTTAACACTAAAAATACATTTTTATAAATATACTATATTTTATTTTATTAAATATACTATATTTTATTTTATTTTTGTATGTAAATAGTAAATATTATATGTATTAAGTAATTAATACCCTTTTGATTAAAATTAGGGTTTTGCCCTAAATATGAAAATACTCCAAAAAATAATACCTTTTTATTTCTCTTTTTATTTTACATAAATAATACTTTTTCATACATATAAAAATTCTTTTACATCTTGCATATTTATTTCATTTCCATTTAATTTATGCTTTTGATTATAATGTAAATATTCAAAGAAAATGATGTAATAGCTAGATTTAATTTCTTGTCTAAATATCCCCCCATTTGAACATTTGTACCCCCTCCCCATATTATTGTGTTGTAATAGTGTAGGAATTTAAATTTCGCACTTTAACGCTTTCTAAATATACCATGCTAGAATTAGGGTTTGCATGCGAATAAAACGAACAAAATAGTTTGACCTAATTTCAAGATAAACAAGCATGAAAATGGACAACACATCTCACACTTGCACCCCTAGGGTATTCCACTTTGTTGCCTTCAAATAATTGGGCCATATTGTATGTTAGGTTTCTTTGGGTAAAACAAACAATCAAATGATTATAAGTCCCTCGATGACGCTTTCAAAAAGTTGCCTAAAATGATCAAATCCCTTTCAAAGAAAAAATTGCCCAAAGACATTTAACACTATTGCAATTATGGTCTAAACGATGATCCGCGCCTGTCCCTTTCACCTCCTAATACAAGATTGTCCACCAAATGCAATGGTGGAACAAAATTGTCAAAGGGTTTATAACATAATAAAAATCTTTGAGAAAACTTTAGGGTAGATAACTCTTAAGTACTTGCCAATTTGCAAAGAAAACACTTGCCCATTTTCAAATCACACTTCACAAACACTTTCAAAAACCAACTTTCAAAAACCTTGAAACATCTTTTCAAAAGACAAAACACCTTTCGTAAAACATTCGAGTAAAGAATTGTTACAAGGGTAGCCTATACAAGGCATCTTTTCAAAACATTTTTCAAAACCACACACCAAGCACCATTTCAAACAATTGAAAACCAAGGCAAGTTTGATCTAAGCAAGTACCTAAAAGCCCATGGATAACCATGGATAGAAAGGGTGCTAATACCTTCCCTTTCTATAATCTACTCCCCGAACCCAAGAAAAATCTCAAAGGTTTTTGCTGTGCTTTTTAAACCTTTCCTTAGGATAAAATAAAAAGTCGGTGGCGACTCTTGCTCAACCGAAACATTTGCGAAAACAAACGCAAAACCCTAGTCAGTTCTCCCACCGTAGCATAATATGGTACATGTATATGTAATCCATAATCAATAAACATAAAAAATAATCATTAATAAAGCATAAACAAAATTAATAATGAAATACCTTAGCACAATTGTCCAAACATGCTTTTCGCACTTAGTGCATGAAATCCTTTTAGAGTCTGTAACAAAACCCTTGTTGCAAACACATGCAGCATACCACCAATCGTTGCCACCAATAACATGTTTGATTGTCCCTAACACAATACAAACAATATTCTACACATGAAAAAAAAACAATTATGTTAAGTTAACAAAATAAAAAGTAGACAATCAATCTCAAGTAACTTTTGTATGAATTGATGGAAAATTATTACATCTTGATAATCCTTCATTTCCTCAATTGTTTTGCATTGACTCAAGTTCAAAAATTATTCTTCTAAACTCATCTCTGAAGCATCTTTCATATAACTGAATGGTTGTGTAGGTGAACCAATGTTATCGCAGACCTTCAAATCATCTTCCTCAGGAATTTCAAGGCTAAACAAAAGCTTGGTAGAGTTCATTGCATTTTGAAGTTGGACCTTTTCATTATACAATTTCACTTTCAGATACTGAGCAACCACAACAACATTTCCATTACAACCAGATTACAGAAAGGCGTCAAGGGCTTCAACGTACGGTCCAAATAGCGTGCGCTCAAGCTTAATTCTACATGAGTTATAAAATTTAATCAGACAAATGATTAGAGTATTACATAACAGTATACGATATAACTCACATATAATATATTACCCATTGGATTCCAACTAAATAACTTTAAATTTAGTAGCTACACAATTCCTTTTATACATCCTTTCACGACCAACGAAATACAAAATACCTATAACATCTGAGAAATATTTAAGAAATTAGAACTTTAGATGCACAACTATAAAAATATATGAAAAGACATGAAAAAAATATACTGAAACATAAGGTATACTACAAATCAAGTAGTCCATGTCTATGTTGCCAAGAATATTTGTAAAAGATACAAACGAATAAGGAAATAATGTTGTCATTCTAGTTCCAACATATGTGACAATCGTGCCATTCTGCAAATTCAATTTAAATTGGTGTTTCGTAGTCCTAAACGCTCCAATATTAGCAGTGACACCAAATGACTTGAAATTATACAAAGATCCCTCCTTAATTTTATTTTCAAATCGAGGCAGCAAGGCTTTTCTAACAGAAGCTTGGATTTTGTCACCCTATCAAAGCAAAAACAATATACAATTCAGTTTATCTCAATATCAAACATTTTATTACAATTAAACTTAAACGGTAAATGAAACAAACATATCACATTATCATCCATGAGTACCATTTCCATAGCAAAATATTTTTGTTTCACATTCATGTCTGTTACAAACCATAATCGGACAACTCGAACCACAATGTTCCACGACTCTTTTGTATGAGTAATTTCGTTAACAATATTGACACCTCCGAAAGTCATGAACAAACCACCTAACACAAAAAAGATGGATGTAAAATCGTGAGACATAAATAATAACTATAACAACTATTAAGAAGAAATTCAATGTGTTTATAATTTGTGATGAATAATACCTATTTATATTCACAAAGATCATATGGATTTCGCACAAAACAACATCAATGAAAACTGTGATTCGTGATCTTACCTGGGAAACATAATTCATTGATGAGCAAAATTTGAATTCGCCTCTTAGATCTATCTAAATACATGAATCAGAATTTGGAAAACGATAAGAATTTATTGACAAAATACAAAATGTTGCATTCTATATTAGAAGACAAAAAATTTGAATTCTCTGAGAAGTTGAATGGCTGAAGATGTACAGAACGTTGCATTTGTGTCTTAATATTAATATGAGAAACTAAAAAATAAAATAATAATAATAATAATAATAATAATAATAATAATAATAATAATAATAATAATAATAATAATAATAATAATAATAATAATAATAATAAAAAAATAAAAGAAATTTTCCATTTATATTAAAAATATAAATAGAAGAATGATTTAGAGGTTGCCAAGTGGCAAACTTGCCAAAGAACTCATCTTAAATTATTATATTGTATGGATAATGTTATATACATATATTTATAAATACAAGTTAATATTATTATGTGAATTAAAGTAGAGATCACACATAAATTAAAAAATTATTATAATTAACTTTATATTAATATTTCACTAATTATATATAGACTCTTTTTTTTCATTTAACTCACCTATTTAAAATCATATATATTTTTTTATAATTTACTATTCTTGTATTTCACTTATAATTATTTGTTTACTAAATTTTGTTTTTTAATTATAAACGAATTGAAATAAACCTTTTTAATTATTTGTTTCCTATATTTCATTTCAAAAGTCTAAATAGTTTATAAAAATATTGTTAATCTAATTTAACATTAAAAAATTAACAATAAAAATAAAACTTAGTTAAATTATTCAGTAACAATAATAAATTAAATTATTTCAATTTAACGAGTAACTTGTTAAAAATATATGAAAGGGTTAGAATCAAAACTTCAAATTTTAATATCATTAAAATAGGGAAACAATTAAAATGAGAAAAAAATAATTGTCTTAAGTTATCTTACATTTTTATTAGAAAGGGTTAGGTTAATTTTTTTAATTATTTGATATTATTAGTGTATTATTATTATTGCAACATTTTTATTGTCACATTTTTTTATTGTTACTCATGATATTGATATTAATAATGCATTATTATTATTATTGTCACATTTTTATTGCTATTAAAATCGATATTAATAGCCAGTTATTATTGTCACTTTACTCAATTAGCTTATTATCAATAAATAATTTATTATTATAGTAAAATTTTCACATGTAAAAAATTAATAAATTGGGATTTGGTATAGTTTTAATGTTTAATGTAAATTTATGAAAAATTATTCGATAAATAATTTTACAAAATGTGACAATAAAAATATTTCTATTTAATAAACCTATAAATGATAATTTTGAAAAAATAATCTATTATCTCGATTTGATATACTTTCCCATTAATAATTATATAAATTTTTAAGATATTCATATATTCAGTTATATTAAAATGTATTCGATCGATTTTATTTTTACAAAATAAATTTATTCACAACATCAAAAAATGTTATAATTATGTCACTTAATTGGAATAATTTAGAATTATCATTATGAGAGGAAAAGACTATACGGTTTCCTAACAAAAAATATAATAAATAAAAATATAATCGTGATTTCATCATAATTAATAAATAGACTTATTGTAAAATGTAAAATCCTTGTTAAAATGAGAATTTAGCTAAATTGAAGATTGTAATGGGCTTAAAAGTTGTGGTGTGTATTCTTAGAACCTCTTAATTAACTATACTCTTTTATGTTTCACCAAATTTCTTTTTTTCTGCATAAAAAAACTTTAATTCAAACAGGTTTAATACTATTAAAAATATGACATTTGAGAAAAAAGCTTTTACATCAGGTATAAAAATAAATTATGGAAAAAATATTTATCAAAAGATTTTACATCAGATTTTTATTTCCTCTAATATAAAAAATATGTGATTTAGAGAAAAATATAATGAAGGTGGCAGATTGGTAAATAAAATGAAAAATTTTATAAGAGATTTTACATTGGACTGTTACTAACCACCAATATAAAAAGTACAATAATAAAATAATACAAATACGGTGACAGTTTTGTAAATAACGTGTGTTTTTGTTATGAAAAAAAGTGGCCCTTATATAGAGCCCTTTGCCCAACCGTGTAAAAAATTGGCCCTTACATCGGGCCATTTTCTCAACCGATGTAAAAACCATGTTTACTTCACAAAACCTTAATGTTACTATTCAGATGTTTACTTCTCAGTCGCACTTCATCCCCAGTCGCGCTTCATCTTTCTCAATCTGCCCAGTCACGCTTCATCTTTCTCGATCCGCCCAGCCACGCGTTCCCAACACCCGCTCGCTCTCAGCACCAAGCCTCCCGTCTCCACACTCCAACAACCTTCGTCGTAACCAGCTGGTCTGCCCTTCTTCCTGTCCGCGATCTTTGTTCTGTTCGCACACCACAGCAACACCAGTTACAAACTTTTTTATGGTAAATACTTTTCTACCATTTTGTTAGTTTGTTTGTTCTATTTGAAATGATGAAAATGATGATACTATGTTGAATTAATTGGTAAAATTGGTGATGTGGTTGTTGTTGTGAGGTTGAAAATAATAGTGATGATTATTGTTATTGATTAATGGAGAAATTGGTAATAATATTGTTAATAGTTATTGTTGAAGGTAGTGATGTTATTGGTTTTGAATTTGAGAATTGATAATGATTTTGTGGTTGTTATTTTAAGTTGAATATCGAGGTTTTGGGTTGATAATACCATTTCATTTGTGTTAAATTATAGGATAGATTTGTGATGTCAATAACAATGTTAGTTGAGATAATTGATTGAAATTTTTCTATTGATGATTATGGTGTTTGTTTATGTCAAATTGGAGTGAGATTTTGTTGTCAATACCACGTTATTTGAGTTTAATTTGGTCAAAATTTTAATTGGTATTATGGTGTTGTTTTTGGACATCGCATCATCTATCTTCGTCCTCTGTTTCCGACAGGTTAGATTTAACATTATTGTTACTATCCATATTTATATTACATTTTATCTAAAGGAATGGACGTATTTCTACCCAAACTAGAAACATTCAAGGATAGTTAAGTAGGACTATTCTATTTCTATATTATTTGTGACGAAGTTTCCTATATTAAGTCATTATGGAGTGATCTAACAAGTAAAGAATGTTAAAAAACATTAATTATTAAAAAAGTATATTAAAAAAAATTCTAATGATTTAGCTATGTAATATTCATTAATTTCGGAACATAGGTATGGGTCGTAGTTGGATGAGAGCTAATCGATTAAGTGCTGAGTACGAACATGGAGTGAAGGAATTTCTATGATTTGCTGAAAGTAATGCTGAAAAAAGTCTTCATGCGCTTTTTCTCTGCCCATGTGTTCGTTGTGCAAATAAAGAACCAAAACTTAATAAGAAAGAAATCATGGATCATCTAATATGTGTAGGGATCTGTCAAATTTATACACAATGGATATGGCACGGTGAAGTAGTAGAAAATTCAAACGTGTCCCAAAGAGATGATGTTAGTGTCGATGTGGATGATCGTTTGGAAGACATGATGCATGATATTGGACAAGATTCGTTTAAGAGGGTGCATGCGTATGATACTTTATGCAGTGACAAGGATAAACCTTTGTACCCGGGATGCACAAATTTTACATGTCAGCCGTGTTAAAATTGTTTAATCTGAAGGCGAATAACGGGTGGATTGACAAAAGTTTTACCAAATTGCTTGAATTATTGACATAAATGCTTCCAGAAGGTAACGTAATGCCAATTCGTTATTACAAGGCAAAGAAAATATTATGCCCGATGGGTTTGGAGTATGAAAAGATACATGCATGCTCTAATGACTGCAGATTATACTGAAAAGAGTATGTAAACTATAATCATTGTCTGAAGTGCAAGGTGTCACGCTACAAAAAGAAAGATGGTGATTCTAGTGAAGATGAAGTGGTCAAAAAGGGTCCTCCCGTGAAAGTAGTATGGTACCTACCAGTAATTTCAAGGTTCAAGAGACTATTCGCTAATGTAAACGACGCAAAAAATATTAGATGGCATGCATAAGAAAGAAATTGTGATGGACAAATTCTCCATGTAGCTGATTCTTTACAATGGAAGAAAATAGATTATTTGTTTCCAAGCTTTGGCAAAGAGTCGAGAAACCTTAGAGTTTGACTTGCTACTGATGGAATGAATCTATTTTGTAATCTAAGTACTAATCAAAATTTTTGGCCTGTTCTCTTGATGATTTACAACCTATCTCCTAGGTTGTGCATGAAGCTTAAATATATTATGCTATCGATGATGATTTTGGGCCCAAAACAACTAGGAAATGACATAGACGTGTATATAAGTCCACTGATTGATGATTTAAGAGTGTTATGGGAGGAGGAAGGGATGGATGTTTTTGATGCGTATTCTGGCGAACACTTCAATATGCGTGCCATGTTATTTTGCACCATCAATGATTTTCCGACATATGGAAATTTGTCTGGGTATAAAGTTAAAGGGCATAAAGCGTGTCCTATATGTGAACAAGACACATGTTACCATCAGCTTGTAAAAGGAAAGAGGACTGTTTATCTCAGGCACCAAAAATTTCTAAATCATTATCATCCATATTGTAGTTTACGGAAAGCTTTCAATGGGGAACAAGAGCATGGTGTTGCTCCAAAGCCCTTAACTAG